ATGAAGGCAGAAGGTGGACAAAGCTTCATGTCCCCCTCCCTCAAGGGGAAGAATGCCAGCATTGCTTCTATGTTGCACTTGTGATGAAAGCGTACAGAAAAAGGTTAAGATGAGCAACACCAACTTGCTGGGTGGGAAATGTGGGCAGGACACATGGTGGAAATGCCCTTGTGATATTTTCTGTGCAGGTTTTCTTACTGTAGCTCTCACCTCTCAACACAATGGCTTCAGAGAAATGCTTCATTACCTACTGCTGACTCACTCCCTAAATGTTTCTAGTATCACCCTCCTGTAATGGCACAGGAGGCTCAGGCATTTCTGGGTAAAGCTCCAAACCTTTCAGAAACTTGGTCTGCTTCAAGGATAACAGAGATGTGAAGCAGGCTTGAAAAGAACCCCTGAAATATCTGCCCCCCCTGGAAGGAAATACTAGCTTGTGAAAAGGGGTTTCCAGGCCTGTGCGGAAGGGAATCAGTAAGACTGTATTAAATCAAACCCAAGCATTTGCTGCTAGAAGCCCTTTTTTTCCCTTTGCAAGTTAAAGTTTAAATGCCTACAGTCACCAACAACTGTGATGCTGAAATGGAAAACCGAGGAATAGTCAGCCACTGCTGGAGATAGGTTCAGGGTGACCACCAAAAGCGTAGCCAAAACCTTACATGAAAACAGGTAGCTTTCAGACAGGAGGCTGACATTAACTTTTTTTCCCCCCTCCAGTTTTGATAAACTACATGTAAAAACTAAAAACAAAACAAAACACAAAAACTTTACTAAGATAATAATTAAAATAGATGTTACTAAAATATGCAAAATTTATATTTTAATTATATAATTACAAGCCTTATAGTCTAATAGCCCCACTGTATTTTGCATATTAGTGAACAATTGCTTTCTTAAAGCTCAGAGCAGCATCATTTACTTGATGCTGGAGAACAAGTTAATTAGGGATCTCCTGCCTTTGATTAATGGATTTAATAATCATGTTACAGTAGAATTAACTTATACTTCATGTGCTTACAGCACTAAGGATGAGATTCACAAAAACAATGTGTCAGCAAATAGGATTGGCACCAAAAAAGGAAATGTTTGGAGATATCAGGACTGCCTGTGCCTGCATCGCTGCCGGTCAGCAGTTCTGTTAGGGACCCACAAATGGCATCCAACCATTTTTGCCTCATCTGTCACTAATTACTACCATTTCCCAGTTACTGCTACAAAACCAAATACTGTCTTCAGGTGAGATGAGCACCTCAGCTGAAGCTCTATTCTGTGGGGGAAAAGGGAAGCTAGGAGACCGGTACAGTATCCGGTAATGCACATACCCAGTAGGCACAGCCACCTGTAGGCTGTTATCACCCAGCGTAACAGACTAAACGTTAATTGTCTTTAACGCTTCTTTTGTGCACATAATACAAGTATAAAGTTTCTTGGGTGTACACACACTGAGTCAACCAAGATTTACTCTCTCTAAAGGAGCCTCAAGATTCAGTACTTAATACAGCATAAGAGACAGGGTACTATAGCTTCCAAGCTTGACTACACCTGTTACAGGAGAGGAACCGTTGCAGGCCAGAGAAGGTCAAAGGGACACTTCAAAACCTTTTCTGTTTTGCCATTATTCCTCACAGGGATCCTGTGCATGTCTGTATAAGAACCTGATCTGCAAGTCTGGTTTCAGAGGCAGATTTAGAAACCTTTACTGAAGTAAAACTCACAAAAATAAAAACAGAATAAGAGCTGAACCACATTTTGTCTGAAAGAGCAGTACCTCAGGGATCACTAGCAATGGGATTTCAAATTGCATCAGCCATGTACCTTATCCATTACCATGCAAAGTAGAGTAATGCAATACAAGACAGCAGCTTAACATAACACTGGGCCCCAAGAAGGCAGCAGGAAATGAATAGGAATACAATTTCCTTAACAATTCACTTACGGGAATTATTCTGCAAGACGTTTCCCATGTCCTGGTGGAGGATGCAGTCTGAGGGTAGAGGAAGCACTCGGCCATTCTGCCCTGCTCCCTCGCTGCCCATCATCCAACTCATGTACTGCCCCGTCCACAGTGTGGTGGCAGAGCTCCTTGCGCGGATTACACCACGTGGAAATACCTGGAAAAAGGCAGGAATATTGCTGCATGGCCAGCACTACTCCGCCTGCTGAGACAGGGAGTACACTAATGCTGTTCAACCTGCCAGTTAAAGAAATTATTCACCAAAACATCATTCACAGCTGATGGTAGTAGAAAGCTTCCCTCATGCTCTGCAGCTGCTCACCTCCTCCCCTCGCTGGAGGGGTCATGGAGGCCTCGTCTGCACTGCATGTCAGCTCTCCGGGCAGCATTTGGGGATGATGTCTGAAAAGCAGTGTATTTTGGTGCTTGTCTTGCAGCTTCATCAGTGACATTAATCCACTGCTGCTTGTGTTCTGTCCTGGGAGATATTTTGGGTTAAGATAATTCAAGGTTTGTGATGAAAATCAACACTTTTTTCTGCCAAACCCATGAAAGCAAGCTGCGGGGATTAGCGACATACTGAAATAACGCGTATTTTATTACCTAACCAGATGGGACTGTGCCTTTAGATGCACCACTTCAAACCCAGCTGCACATCCCGTGCTCTTTCCTTGCTCCTCTTTTATCCCCCTTGCTCTGACCCTGCCACACATCCATCCAGTGTGGAGAGCTACAGCAACACTCTTCTCAGCATGTCATGGCTGGTTTGCTCATGAAACACGTTTCAGAGAGCTGTCAGGCCACTTCTCCGTGTCTTACCACAGTGGTTTAACCTCTCCCTGACCCAATTTGTTCTAGGTGAGCTCAGGAATCAGTGGCCAAATAACCTTCAGCAGAAGATCACCTGCCAAGTGGCAACTGTTCAAACGAGACCACAGGTATACCCAGTTCTTAATTTAGAAGCTGAATCCACCAACAACTCAGATTACATTAGTCAGAAAAATGCCAAAAATGCTTTCTAGGATATTTATGATGGGTTTGCTCAGTGCTAAGACACAGGAGGTACTTCTTGCATACTTCTGTTTTATAGCTCTCGAGTCAAACGTTTCCTGGAAGCCAAGAGGCAAAGCTCAGCCTTACCAGGGGCAGTGCTGGCCTGCAGCCCCTCCCTGCTTTGACTCCACTTCACATATATGGTTTACTACTATAACATATTTTAACTTTTTATGAGCCTAGCAAATCCTTGTCCTCTAGGCGCTCATCCCTTACAGCTGTAGGCACAAATAATAAAGTAGACAGTGACGAGCAGACGCTATAATGCAAAGCTAAATAGCCAATTAGAATTTGATGAGCAAGTGTGAAATAAAACACATTAAACAGAATAAAAAGGTAGGTCAAGAAATCAATTTCCCATTAAATTCAGTGGTTACTTTTTCTCTGACTCTTAATGTTAAAAGCATCAATTACAGATATAATTTACTTCTTTACAGTCTGATTCTGTGTTCAAAGCAAAAACATGCCTTACAGAATAGGAATTAGCCCAGTCATCACACGGAAAGAAGCAGTACACTGTAGGTTTAAGTATTGCTCCACCAGCATAGGCCAGAGGGAGGTTGCTTATACACAGTCTGGGAGGGAGAAGGAAGTGATTTTGAAGCGGCCTGATTACCAAGATTACGAAGATTACCAAGAAGTAATCTCCCCTGGTGCAGAAGGTACGAAAACTTGGGAAAAGCCAAGGAGATGTTTGAGATGGAAAGTAAATACACGTTCCCAAAAGATTTGGCTTTGTGGCCATGACTGGGGGCTGTAAGTCTAGTACAAAATGCATCCTTCACTGAGCTCATGTAAGCAGCTAAGCACAGTGAATATACAGAGTAGAAAAAGCTGCTTGTGGATGATTTCAGGACAAGTAGGCACAGGCATAAGTTCTCTTTTATTTCATCTTGTTCACAGTGTCTCATACATATGTCTTAGAAATAAGATGCATGTAGAGTTATTTTAAGCAAGCAAACAGACAGAGACGTTTCATCTGGAGGGAGTGGTGACCCCTGACCCATGTTATTGAGCCATACTTGCAGGGTCTGTAAGTCCATTCAGCTTTATTTCTACCTCCAACAGACAGTAAGATGGATCTCCGCTGAGCTGCATGTGGTTTGAGCAGTGGTAACAGCAGCCCGTGGTCTACAGACTGGAAATGTCAGCACTGCAAGGAGAGGAGTTTTCTGGTATGAGGTGGGATGGTAGGGAGCATGCCTAAATCATGAGGTGTACAAAGAACAGTGCAACACCTGGCGAAAAATGACCCTGCAAACCCATCTCCCTGAACTGGCAGAAATCTATGCACAGAAAAAGTGGGAAAAGGAATCAGTTACCTCTTTCATCCTCCTTCATAACTCAGAGTGCAAGAACATCTTAAGAAACCAGGAGAGAAAAGTGCTATGAAAAGATGTGGGATGCACCTCATATTTCAGCAAAACCTCCTTCGGGTGTGTCTAAAGATGCTGAGGCGGCTCACTCGCGTTTGTCTGTTCTAAACCTTCTGCACTTTGTTCTTAGAGCTAAACGTGGACCACATTATTCCGGGTTGCAAACCACAGACACCCATAAACACTGGAAAGAAGCTAAATGTAGAGAGAACAATGTGTTCTTTAATGGGCCTAGGCACCTCTCATATTAAAGGCAAGAGCTGAAAATGAGTTCCAGCTGTCTTGGATTGTCCCTTGCTTGTGAAGAGCCTGTCAGTAAATCGTTAATTCAGAACGCCCTTGATGCCATCATTAATGGATGACATGGGGTGTTAAGCCTTGCTCCAGTCTCCAGCACACTGGCACAGCTCTGTGGTACTGGTATCTAGGGTGCTAGGGTGCTCCTTTGTACCCACGTTTATCTTACCCACTGTTTTGTGAGTCTTTTTCAACTGATGAGGAGGGAAAAAAAAGCTCATAGCAGTTAATTTCTTCATTTTACACTCATGTACTCTGTTCCCCGTTCTACAATAGCTGCAATATAATGTTGTTTCAGTAGAGCAATGCTTTGCAGATTTGGCTCAAGGAGACACTGAGCAAACAGCTTTTCAGAGAGCTTCAACTCAGCTGTCAGAAGGGGCAGTTTGGTTCCTGTGCAGGCAATACTCGCATTCCAAACTGCATTACAGAAAAGCCGGTGGGTTTGTATGCATTTTTATTATCAGTTCCAGATTAGGAATTCGATGCTAATTTCTTCTTAAAGCCTGTGTTTGCAGTAGAATTTATATTCTAAAACAAGCAAAGGATTGTGATGTTTTTTTCTCACTAGCTCGCTCTTTTATTTTTTTTCCCCCATCTGGCTTTAGTCCAAGGACCTTTTTCGCTTGTTCATTACATTCTCAAGATGAAGCACCCGTTGGTTACAGCAGTGCTGGTAGTACTGGTGCAGATTGCTCAGAGTTTCCCTGCCTTGTACCACCGAGGTTGGTGGAAGCTGTTAAGGGAAGGAGATAGCTGTGGAAAATGCAATTTGGCACTTTGCTCTGAGCCTAAAGACTGTCCAGCCGGGACTGTATTGGACCGCTGTGGCTGCTGTCTGGAATGTGGAAACGTGGAAGGTCAGATCTGCGACTTGGACCAGGGCAATCATTTTTACGGGCAATGTGGGGACCACCTTGAGTGCAGGCTGGATGCTGATGAAGCAAGGTTTGGGGAAGTCCCTGAACCCCAGTGTGTGTGCAAGTCTCAAGAGAGCATCTGTGGACCTGAAGGGAAAACCTACGAGAACATCTGTCAGTTCAACAAGGCTTACGCTACAAAAAGAAATATCAGCATGAAACATAAAGGACCATGTGAATCAGGTAATGGGTACAGAGGCACTTTCAAATTGAAAAAAGATCTGCTTCATATTTTTAGATGTGTTACTAGATGCTGTAGCCTAACTTTATTGAACTAATACTACATTTTTTTTTAATAATTACAATTATTTTATTTATATTTAACTCTGTGTTAAATGTAAGGTTTAGCAGCTGGTACTTAATCTTCTATGTTATAAGCCTCTATATTAGAATGGTGGATTTAAATCACATAGTGACTGATAAGCCATAGATCTATAGACTAGCTCTGCTCTGAATCAGTAGAGTATGATGTATTTCCTACAAAAATAGTAGTTGGGAGTATGTAAACAGATAGGACAGCGTGGGAGGACTGGACAAATAATTATTATATGAGGACTGACTTGATATTAAAGTGGTGATAGCAAGGCAGATCTCATTCATATATATACACAGACATATGTGTGTATATATGTGTGTCTGCACCCGTGTATCCACACATGTGTATATGTGGTAATTGGGGAAGTAGAGGCAATAGAAGAAGATAGAGCTTAATTAACAGGTCTGTTCCTTTTACAAAAAAGTCCAAAATAATCAAATTTCAGAATAATCATAAGATCTAGGTAACCCATGAAATGGAAATCCAAAATTGGAACAGAATCAAACTGAAATAATTTCCCTAAAAACACTACAGTGCATGAACAGTTCTCTGCAGTGATTGTTAGTGGAAGGATTCTTAGCCGGGTTGTACGGAGGAGTTCTGCCTCCTGCTCATATGCTGTTCTCATTCTTCACATTATTACAAGTCTTTACTCATGGGTACCTTTCACCTAAGTCACATGAATATAAATGAAAAAATGAACAGGCTTTTGTTTTCTGAATGGGAAATTATTACCTTTTTTTAAAGTTTATGAAATATGTTCTCAAATGACGGAAGTAGAAGAGGTTCTGGGTCACAAATGGGTCATAGTTCTGGGAGTCTAAAATTGCATCTCTGGCAAAGGTCCATATATGAGAGTAACTCTGGTACATTTTACCCACTCCTTGCTAGCAATCTATTGCCTCCAGTTTAGACTGTATGCTGTGCTTTTATACTGAATGAACACTGGATATTGAATACTTGAAAGGAAAAGTGATGAAGAGCTGATACCAGACTTCTTTCCCCTTTCCCTAGTTGCAAGAGAAACATCCATTAAAGAATCCCTGATTTGCCATTAGGGTATTAAGCTGGGAAATGAGGCTTGCCAGTAAAGAGGTATTCAGAAAACTCAATACATCCCAGCCCACGGTATGACTGAAAGCCTGGTAGCCCTCGGGTAGGTGTTCTTCTTTGGGATTAAAATAGCACTAGTTCTTGCAGCAGAACCCCCTCAGGAAGATTTCAGTTCAAAGTGCCACTCAAGTCGCAACTGATGTGAACTTTGCAGCAGAGGCAGCTGTTCACGCATAGAGGCTTAAAGCAATGGTCTGCTCTAATTAATTAAACTGAACTGGCCACGCACGTAGCTTTAATTTGGAAGTACTATCACTTTTAATTGCTGGTGGTGTCATCCACCAGGCCTTGCAGTCACCCCCGAGGCACACAACACCATTCATCAAGCAGGAGGAAAGAGCTCAGGTGCTCCGCATGCAGACATCGCCCCCCCCACACACTTTCCTACAGCTTCCGTGGGTCCACAGAAAGGCTGGACCCCCTGCCAGGAATGCAGAGAAATGTCCCAGCAGCGCTTGGCCTACTGCACTCAACAGAAGCCTGGAGGGAAGTTGATAGCCACGTCAGTGCTGGGTTTGGTTAGAAAAACGGGGGCCCGTCTCCGTGCCTCTTGCAGAGGAAAAGTGCCTGCTGGCCTACGAGCCCATCCAGGGCAGAGCACTAGAGCCTGAGGTGGGTGGTGGGGAGCAAAGTGCCCCGCTTCCCAGCCCCTCTGAGCAGCAGCTGACCCCGTAGAGGTCTGCGAGTAAGCCCCCCTTTGCCGCCACAGCTGCCTGGAGCAGCACAGTGGGCAGGAGAGAGCCCACCGTGATTTAGGCTGGTGTGTCAGGGCTGCAACCGATGGCAGAAGGCAACAGGGGGTCAGTCTGGCTCTAAGAGTGGGCACAGTGGGCAGGAGAGAGCCCACCGTGATTTAGGCTGGTTTGTCAGGGCTGCGACTGGCAGAAGGCAACAGGGAGTCTGGCTCTAGGAGTAGCAACCTCGCTGCATTTGCATGAGAAACAAACACTGAACGCAGTGGGGTTTTGGTACCAAGCTATAAATACAACCTTCACTCAACTCAAAGTGCGTTGTTTTGTTATTTCTCCTTCAAAGCATCTGCTGTTTCCTATTGATGCCAAATGGATTAATTGTATACAGCAACCAATGAATAAATAAATAACAATAAACTCCTTTCATCAGGAGAGTATAGCCTTTTATCTGTCGTCTGTCAGCAGAAAAAGGGGAGGAAAAAGGCCTAGCTCCCGAAAGAAACACTGAAAAAGCCCTTCTTTTCCTGAAAGCGAGTTCTGATCAGTTTATCTCATAATCTACCAAGGTTACTAAGAACACTGAATATATACAGATTCTCCACACTTAACCCATCCTCATTCACATTCCAACCTCTCTTGCTGATGATTTAACAAACTAATGGAACAATCTTGCAGTGATTCTCTTTATACTTAGCTGTGTCACATAAATTAGTTTAAATTTAAATTTTGGAATAAAAAAACATTACACAAGCCACGGAATTTTCATGTTTTCATCAAATCAGACACAGATCAGCAAAAAGGAATATGAGCGAAGGGAAAAAAAAAATCGTATTATCTAACTCATTGATCTGGAGTGATATTGGGTTAATGTTGATTGTGCGAGGTGAAGCAGTGCTTTGACTTTTCCTGGCTTCTGGTTTATGCCTTCTGTAACACACAAGGACAATTCATGACTTGGACATCAAAAGGAAAGGAGCAACTACTACGCATTCACCTCCAGACACTGAGCTGTCAGAATGCTGTCTGTAGCTATCGAGACAAATTTATCTACTCCAGGAATCAAAATGACAGGTTGTCATAATAGTAAAGTTCTGTTTCTAAAGACACAGTTATGCAAAAAAAGTACACAGATATGCATAGAGGAATTTGGCTGAACACAAAATCTGAAACATTCAAAAATGCAGTTTGTAAATTTCTGTTAAAATGCTACATCATTACTTCAATTTTCTTCTATAAAATACAGCAAAATGGTGTTGAGATACAGAGCATTTTATTTCCGAAAGAACTTCAAGTTTGAGTAGGTAAGGCAAGTATTTATTGCATGTTCAGGTTCAGAAAAGGCAGTTTGGTTAGATCAAAACAGTAGTTTTTCCTACTAGCTATGACTTTGATCTCACACGATGACATTGCAGGTCAGCTCTGGCCCTGAAATGCTTTCACTACCTACACGAAAGGACTCAGACCCTATCTAGACACTTCTGTCTGAGCTATTCTACAAACTGTAAGCATTCTCCTTACAGTTAATGGAGGAGAGGGTATTTCCGGTGTGGAATTTGGCTTGGTGTGTGGTAGGGAGACCATGCTAACCGAGTTTCTCGTACGTGAACAGCTATAACGCAGATTTGCCATTCAGACAAATATATGAGTTCTGAATGTACAGTTCTCATGAAAGAACAAGAATGTTAGGGCTTAAGTATCATACTTTGAAAAATCTTATTTTTGAAGAGCACCATGATTGTTTAATGAGGCATTCATATAACTTGTTTGCAGCTGATTTTAATGAGTATGCACTTGATATTTTTTGCACAGATGTCAGTCCTGAAAACTGACAAATATGTTAGAAACTTTGCTTGAGAACCTGGAACAGGCTGTTACAATTTCAACTGCTGAAGCACAAATGCTGTGCCTACATATTGATTCGAATATTCCAAGTAAAAATATATTAGGTACTGTAAGTTTCGACTTCCAAGCATCTGGTATCTATACAAAAATAAAATCAATAATTACATAAAAGTCTAATGGCCCAGAAAATGCTTTCCGTTTTTAAGCACTGGTATGGAAATAGAAAGAAAACAGACTTTAGAAGGAAAAACATTTCTTGCTGAGGACAAACAAATGATCTCCGAAATAGGAAAACCATGATAACAGTAAATATGTTATTTTGCTCTCTGCTGCTAAATATAATTTCCTGTAAAGATTTAGTATGTTCTTACATGCTTACGGAGGGTTATGTATTTAAAATCATGTGCAATGCATCGGGTGATAGGGTTTTTTTTTTTTTTAATGTCTTCAAATCCCTGGACTGGCTCCCTCTCGTGGTTAATGTCAGCTTTTTCTTTGGGATAAAGTGGGAAAGGATAATTCAGAGGCAATAAATAAACAGTGGAGGGTGATGAAGGTAAGAGAACAATAGGAAACAAGCTAAGTGGAAATCTAATAATTATAATAAACATAACACAAAACCTTATAAAAATAACTGGATTTCAATCACGTTTATTACTTGTCTCATAACAAGAACATCAGATGAAATTGAGCAATTGAGGATAAATGTGAAATGTGTTAATGCTGCTATTCTGTAACTTGCTGCAGTGAATCCCAAGGGTAACAGTGGGGGATGAGATTTTAGCAAGTTCAAGACAAAGATGTACTCAGAAAACAAATTTTGACAAGCTAACAATCTCAGTATTTCAGCTTTTAAGTTGGGTAAAATGTAACAGAAATTAAGAAGAGCTATCAGATACAATCAAGTTACTCTGTGATTGCCTGCTACAGAATTTCTTTTGCTCTCCTCTGAAGGCTGAGTACTGGCTGCTGGACTGGTGGGCCTTGAGTCCAGTCCACCATGATAGCTCATGGGACACAGCTGAAACTTCATTCCGCTGAAGTTCACGATCATGTGCAAAGGGAAGGGCAGACAGGTCCTTTGAAATAAGTAATATTTTAAAAAGCCTGTTCACCCTTTCATGAGACACAAGGTGTTCTGGGCTTTAAAAACTGCTTGGAATCATGTGGCTCCTCATAATGTGTGAGATGGCAAAAGGTAAGCTAATTTTGCTGTGTAAAATAGGAATTAACCTTACACGCTTTTGTGTTTGTGTTGTCTTTGCTCACTGCCTTCTAAAGCACTGTTATGCCGTACTTTGCAGCTCCTGTCATTTCTGTGCCACCTCAGGATGTCCAGAATTTCACAGGCAATGACGTCATTTTTGGCTGTGAAGTGTCAGCCTATCCTATGCCACACCTCGAATGGAAAAAAAAGGGGAATAAAATGTTTCTGCCAGGCGATGATGCACACATCTCAGTACAGGTAAAACCTGGGTTTTCCACGTCGTACGGTCTGGGATGAGGAGCTGGGGGATTAGTCAGTGAATTCCTCCTGCCAGACACAATACTGTTGCAATAAATAGATTCCCAATAGGGGCCCTCTGACGACATAAAGAATTCTGATTTCAGTCAGTGCAAGGATCATTATTTTGGCAGTCCAAGCAGAAGAAATAACAGGGAGGGCACCATCCGGCCTGCTTCAGGGAAAGAAATGATGGAAGATTCTCCTCATGTAGCTATGATTCTGGAAAAAACGAATTAACATATAAATGGAACCGTTTAGGCTACAGCCTCCAAGAAGGTTCGTTCTGGGAAGGATGGCTGTTGGCAACTATTCTACTTTTGATACAGAATCACGATTCTGGCAGGTATTTAAGCTTCTCCTTTCCAAGATGCTCTTTCTGGACACCTGCCATTTGGGTTCACTCCCTGAGGCATTCCAAAGAGGGAATCTGAGAGGAAAGAGTATAATGGCATTAGTATAGGCTTCAAGCAAATCTAGGAACAGCCTGAAAGTTTGAACTAAAATTAAATAAACTAAAATACGAATTACTTTAAATGGAAATAACATTCTGGGCTGAGACGCTAACAAAGCCAGATGTACAGGCAGCCTGAAGTGAGGCTGAAGCTTGCATCCACACGCCTTCTCCAATGGACAAAGAATATGAACAGAGACTGTGCCGAGAAATGCATGGAAAATCCAGCTTTCTGGATACACAACCCGAAAATGAGAAGATCCGATGAGAATGAGAAGCACAGAAAAATCTAATTGAAGTACCAAAAGTACTGAAGTACTAAGGGTCTAAGTTATTTAGATGTGTTTCCAGAGGCACCATAAACACAAGTGGGATTTGTGGACTTAAAATTTGCTCAGAAAAAATTATGTGAGGAGCCACATCCAAATGCTGGTCACCTCAGAACCTAAACTGAACCCTGTTAACCTACCTTACTGAGTCAGTGTGAGAGCATCTCTGTTAACATGTTAATGGCTTTGTGTTATTTGTTTGGAAAAGAAAGCTCGCGCCTTTAAGGGACCTGATAAAGTTGACACTGACTGTCAGGGAAGTGTGAAAGCTCATGGTATATCATGCCAACTCATTAAAACCTGGATGAGGCCCAGCTTGGTCAGGCCCCTCGGTCCTGAACACCTCACCCAGACCCACTGGCTACCCTCACTCTGAGAAATGAATGAGGTTGAGAACAGGTAGCAATGCTTTGAAGCAGCAGAAGGAGATGGGACAAGAGACAGCAGTACTGGGAAGCAGAAACATCAAAAGGACCAGGAATCAGAGCACTGTGAAGGGCAGTGAGGTTTAAAGAGCAGAGCGGGGCAAGCATGAAGTTGGAGGCATGGAGACAACAGGGTGTTAAAGTGTAAGGCAGCAGAATCAATGAGAATCAAAGCATGATGGCAATAAACAAAAAGCAAAGATTGGAATGATATTTAATCCAGACAGGAGTATTATGAGAGGTATCATGGTTTCTCCTAGCTACTTTATCTCAACTATTTCTCTCTCCTCTCAAAGGCAAGAGGTGGGCCTCAGAAGTATGGTGTGACAGGCTGGCTGCAGATTCAAGGCCTCAAAAAATCAGATGAAGGCGTTTACATCTGCCACACCAAAAATAAGCATGGTGCGACATACGCCTCTGCAAGACTGAAAGTCATTGATGGTATTGTGTTTTCTTTTTTGGATGTGGAGACTATAAAAATGCATACAGGCAGACTGCAAAGGGTGGACTTATCAGAATGCAAGCGAAGGCTATGAGAAACTACCTAAGGATGCCCATAATTTAACTTTTCTGAGAGCTTTTCTTTTACTTTATCCCCTAATGGGAAATTCAGTCCTAGGTATTTAAAAAGTCAGAAGTGTTTATGAATTATGGGGAAAAAAAGACCCTTACCTGTTAATATTGTAATATTTTGCTGCAAATCATACCAGCTTCCAGAAAACAGAAAGTTGTGGGTTACAGTCATAGAGCTGAGACACATATTACTCCGTTATCCCTATCCTACAGAAGTCCTTGGATGTTAGTAGGAACACCACACCCAGAACAACAGGGGCGGTAGCTAAGCAAGTCTTTGAACCACGGCAGCTCTGCTTACCTGTTTATTTTCAAAAAGTCAGGAAGGAAACAATTGTTGCTCCTTGATGACAATGTTTGGAAAGATCTAAGAAATAGCTTAACTTGTGTTGGGCCCAGTCCTGCAGAATAACATCCTTCTTCCTCCAGGGAGAGCTGGGTTTCCGGGCCAATGCAGGATAAAGATGCATTGTTGTATTTGCCTCCTGGTCTTGCAGAGTTTGTCACTGGTCTGGTTTGCCACTGACTTGTTTCAGCAAGTGGTTTTCAAAGCTCTGTTGGCTCTGGTCATATTTTCAGGTGCATAGGATCTGCAGAGGACTGAACTCATAGTTTACTAGTAATGGGAATTAAATTTTTTTTTCAACATCTTAAAATGTGAATGATACAGACATTTGCTCATATATCATGAGCTCTGATGATATGAGGTCAAGTCATCAGATAGAAACCCCTTGCTTTTAATAAATGACTTAACAAGGATTCAGAAACCCTGAGCTGCTTGTAGAGCTATTGTCCGAAACCGTACTTTCCCCTTCATTCCTATCCACAACTAATTTAATCTGGATTCAATTGTGTCTTGCAGGCTCGTCTACTGCATTTGCATTTACAGCTGGCAGTAGAAGTGCAAGCTACAGCATTGAATATGGGGACTATTATGACCATTCTGATGATGAAGACGAGGAAGAATATGAATCTGGGGACTACGAAAATTGAAACAGCTCTGCATAATAATTTTTATACTTCTGTTGTCCAATACCTTTCTTACTGTTACATTTACTAGTAGTCTCCATGCTGTAAATGGATCCACTGATAACACACATACTCACTTGTGTATACACCTTCCTGAAATACAGCTTTGGCTGAAGGGTATCATGCTACTTATCAGAAATAAGAGCAGTTGTAAATTCAGACATTTAGACTGTTAAATAAAATTCTTAAACATGCACCTGTCTACTAAGTATACTGAAGGGATCAAATTTTATATTCATTTTTAAATGTAAATTATAACTTCTTTCAAACATTCTAATGTGTCTACCAGAAATGTCCATAGTTAAACAAAATTTGTACCTTGTATCTGTTTCCTTTTTTCTATAATGTACTAAGGAATATCAAGAGATTGTTCACATGGCAACAGGCCCAAGTATGAAGGTTGCAAAAGAGCCTTTAATCTCCTTAGTTCCTATTTTCTCATAAGTTTCAGCAAGATTTTCCTTCTCATTTGAAATTCTTCATGGTTAGTCTCATCAAGGGCAAATTATCAGTCTTTTGGGGGGTTATACATACATGAAGCAATCAGCATAAAACAAGTAAGAGCTGTTTTACTAGCAATACTCAGAAATACCCAGAAAAGATTTCTGGTGCATTCAGGCAGATGAGCACACCTTCTGACTTCTTTTTGTAGCAGTTCTCCTGCCAATCCTTACAGCGTCAGCTCCTTCCCACCAGCCTAGGCAATGGCTCAAGATTTGGGATCATTATTTTTACTCTGAACAGCATCATGTTTGGTGAGAATTACTGCCGTTTAAAGAAGGTGGCCGTCTTGTAGATCAGTGCATGCCCTTCAAACACACAGAAATCTGCATAATCGAGCAGATCTCGTCCTTTGTCTTGGACTGTCCCAGACTTGCTCCTACATCTGACCCTTCTGTACCATGTCCAACCAAAGTGCGTTCAGCAGTGCCACACTTGTGGAAATGGCAGCCAGAAAAGAAGGCATCGGTTTCTTTCTGCAAACCACGAGAACACATGCACATTTTTCAAATTGTCTCCAACACTTCTTGTCAGCATGAACCAGACAGCAAATGAAATGCAATTCAAACACACCAGACTTCAAAGTGTGATCACCCTGAAAAATTTCTCCAATTGCTTTCCTTAACTAATTACGTGAAGGTTGGCTCTGCATTGACGGTTGATGGAAGATATAAATGCTGAAGAACACGTTGGGGAGGCAGTGACACCTATGGGTTCCCATTGGTGGAGGACAGATGAATAGCAGTAAATTACTGAACGACGTCAGTGACTAAGGAAGCAGGAGTTCACGCATCTGAACGTAAAGCCTGGGTATTTGCAGTCGTCTTTGTCCAGTGCACAAAACCATGCAGTGGTTACAGCACACACTGAGGTAATGCGATGTTAGATTAATGGTGTTAAGGAAGCTTTAAGGGCAACCCTACTGTACGCATACACCTACTGCGTAGATTTTTTTAATGTATATACAATGCATCACAAATTCCTCCTTCAATGTGCTGTTTTGTGCTCTTTTGCCATTAGGCAGATTTTTCCTTTCAATTTGAATTACATTAAGAAATTGGCTATAGACTGTGCTCGCCCTGAGGTATTATTGATCTTTGTCCAGGTAGCAAACAAAGAATAATTTATTTTGTTTCAGACTTCCTGGAGTATTGTCAACTTATGAGTAGAAAGCATGCCATTGTGTCATTGAAAAGATTAATTAGCTGTATGAAATTACTTCATATTAACTACTGATTTTGTTGCAATGGGCTCTTCCTGCTTTTCTTAGTGATAGGTCTACTAACTTTTTTCTTGCTTATCCACTATATATTAACTTGAACATAAAATTTTCTGCTAGAAATCACTGATTTTTTTTTTAAGTGGGTATTTTTATGGAACTATTTAATCTGCAGACATATATTCAAGATCAGTTGTAATCTGCATTGCAAATGAATCAGATTACTAAACTAACTAACTTGTGACACTATATTACTGGCGTAGACTAGTACGTTGCACAGAAAATAATCTCAAAATCATTAGCCATAGAAATAAATTAGAATTCTTCAGAGCCTTTTGCTGTGGTTAATGTAAAATGAAAAACAGAAAGAAAAGAATGTTTGAATGAGAAAATGTGTAGCAGAACCATATGAAGTACCAGTCTGTGAGTGTTTGGCCTGATGGACAATGTGTATTTAAAAAAAGCTAACCATGAAACAAAAGGGTTCTAAATGAAATACATTGCATCTGTCTTTGTATGTATTTTTTAATATATTTAATTTTTTTTTTGTAAATTATCAGCCATTCCTTTCAGTAAGAAAACTGCTTTTTAGGAAAAATCCAGATGAGATTTATTAAAAAAAAAAAAAAAAAAAAAAAAAAAAAAAAAGTTTAGTTTGCTAGGTGTTTTTTTTTGAGGGGGGGACGGGACAGAAATGTCTGATTTTGTTTGTATGCTTTAATCAAATCACTTAAAATTAAATTAAAAGAGCCTGGAGAAGATTCAGCCCTCCCTATGCAGCGTGGCAAATGAATGGATCTAATTGTGAATGCACTGCCCAAGGCAACAGATCTATTCACATAATCCAAAGTAACAGCAAATTCAGGAAGTTGGTTTTATTCCACCTAGCAGAAAATGAGAGTGGCTTGAGCTGGAAACTAGATTGATACTGCAGGAAGGTCTCAGCACTGTATCTTGTGAGGCAGACCTAAACCGCTTGTTAATTTAGCATCCATGGGCCACAGCAATGAATTGAGCCTGAATTTCATGGCACAACTTCCTCCTGTCGATGCCTGTCACACAAGCATCTCCACTATGCCATTCCCCTCTGATGGAAAGATAAAGTTCCTGAGTAAGTTACACTCCTTAATGCAGCTTTGCCCTTTGGGCCAGGACTCTGACACAGTCTGGAGCAGTTTCACAATCTGACATTCTTACTTGCCATGTTAAATCTCAGGAGTTTGTCAGGTATTAGTCTAGGAATTCATTAATTCTTTAGCTAAACCAATTTTTTTCCCCCTTAAAATAATCAGGCTATAGCTGACAGAAATCGGATACAGAAATGCAATTGCCTGTGTCTCAGAGATTAAAATGATTCAACTGGTGATTAAATAAGGCACAAATAGTCACATGGCCACGCTGTGCAGCTGGGCACACAGTGGAGCAAGTGCTCCCTGCCTACCTCGTGGTACCTTTCCATGCTTCATTCGTTGGCACCAAAAAGAGACTGGAGGGGAACGGGTGTTTCTGGCTACGAGCAAACACACCCACTCACATTCAGCTACTATGCTGTCCCTCGACTACGCTCAGCTCTTGAACTGTTTAACTTATTAACCTCATTTCTGCATGTCTCTGCATAGCTTAGTGGCACAGGCTCGGCGATGGCCTGGCACATGGAGCAGGATTCCTCGTCATTGCTAGAGCTGACGCGCTGCTCACAGGTTCAAGGTCTTTGAAGGATATGCAAGATTTTCCTCTTACCTTTTCGACCTGTATTGGCAAGATGCTTCTGGCTCTTTGGACAATCTGTGATTTTATTGCATCAGAAAGTCTCCCAAATTTCATTCCCTATTCTTCAGTCCTAGGAATTTCTCAGTTTGGGTCTGTCCCTCTGCTCTCCTTTTAAATACTCTCTGTTCTTTGCCTTCTGTGTGTATCACCAGCCCTTTTACTCTGCTCTTGGTATGTTTTCTGACTTTTCCTTCCTTTCAGACTATGACTATAGATAAATAATTCTATTTCTTCACAGGGTAAAGGATGAAAAATTGGGTTTAGGCATATGCCAGGACTGAGGCAGTGATTAGGCACCGGGGTAGTCTGAGCCAGCTTTTCAAGAACTGTCAATTTGACTTTTGGAAGTGCCAGCCACCGGAGTTGGTTATGAGGGCAAGAAACAAGAAACTCCATTTAAAACCATTTTCTATTTTGATTTTGCTTCATTCTCCAATAATTAATGAAGGTATTTTGTACAAAAGCATATGGCTCAGTGATGGTATCATCTGTGATAGTTCATGTACAAAGACATTACTCTTCCTGCCCCATTAGATTATTCTAACTGTTTCTCAACCCTGCTGCTAGAAGGTGAATGCAGCTAGGAAAATACCTAATTAATTTTTTCATTCCAGGTTGAAAGCAGCTTCCATTTCCAAAGGAATTCTACCTGCTTGGGCTTCTTCTTGGGGGACACCAGGCTTCACATGGGAATTTTTGCAGTGTAGTCAATGAAGAAGCAGGGAAACATGAATAATTTCACACAAACTGCTCAGGCCCTGTGTCATCTGTTAACCAGGATAAAAATTACATGGACTTTTCATCACCGTAGTGTTCAGTGCCGGGGAGGTCAAGGCAAAAATTCTTCCTACCATGTTAAAACATCGAACAGCAGTGTGCCCAACAAAAATTTCAAAATTTTTGGGTGCAATATTCATAAATGCTGTCAGCTGGCTATAGCAGCAGTCCTCACTGCCTCCCCTCCATCACACTTTATTGTTAATCCTCCTTCCGCCCCATGCCACTGACTCCAGAAGTGTCTTGTGAAGCCTAAACTAACACACGTTTTACCCTGGGCTCTGTTTGGCTCCATGTTGTACAGTACCACTGCTCACCTTTAGCAGGACAAGGCAGAGAGAGACGCTTCTCTTGCTTTGGCCTTCCTAAGGCTTCTTCATTAGTGACAAAAGCCTGTTGCACTCCTATTGCATACGATGCCATGTTGTACATGCATGCAGCCCGTGACAGGCTGTAACCCACACCACACAACCTCACCGATTTCTGCCCAAGACAGTAGCTCGTGTATCCGCAGCGTCACCTTTCAGGGAAGTGACCACTTGACCTAGTGACAGGGAATGCACCATCCTTTGGTGAGAGTTATTCCAGCAGACGATTGCCAACACTGTTTATTCCTGTTCTGAATTTGTCCAGCTTCAGTTTAATCACACCTTTTTCTTTGAAGTTAAGAAGTTGGTTGCAATAAAAAAATGGGTTTTTTTCCCACTGAGATACTTGTAGATACTGTGCAAGTCACTTCATGCCCTTCCCTTGGCACTGCCCTTCTTCTGTCGCTGATTTATATGGCATGTTTTCCTCCCTAACCCTGAATTATTCCTTTTACTCCAGATAAATAGTCTTGGGTAAGATTCTCTTTGCAGTGCTTGAACTTAAGAGGTAAAGCACCGATGTTAATTCTGATGTCACAGACTCCACCAGCTA